CTCCGGAGAGGGAAAAGCAAGAAATGTACCAACATCCACAGGAGGAAGAGTAGAAGACACTGGAGTGGACTCCTGAAACAGATAGCTCTGATCATTAGTACATATTTGTATGCATCATAGATCTCAATTAGCACACATAGCCACTTGAACCACAAAGGACATAGCCAAACTAGAAGGGGGGGGGATTCCAAAAGCAATAACTGTTAGCCTATTTAGACTTGCTGGACTCACAATCAACAAGAGAGCCCCAAAATACACACTTAGCAGTTTTTCATCACCACCTCCTGAAGGTCATGGAATCTGACAGTACTTACATGAGTATCTAAAAATTTTTTAGGAGTTAGCAATTCTTGTTCTCCCTGCCCCCTCTCCTGCACTGGAGAAGGTTCTTCTTCTTCTTCTTCTTCTTCCTCCTCCTCCTCTTCCTCCTCTTCATCCACATCATCATCCTCATCTTCATCATCCTCATCTTCATTATCATCCCCCTCATCATCACTAAACAGAGGAAGTTTTAGAAGGAATAGTTTATAACATTCTGCAAGGCATGGACAGACATTATTTAAGCCATTTTATGGATTCCTTATCGCCTTAGGGTAGTTGTAAAAATATTGAGTTGAATGCTGCAGAAGAACTTGAGGAAGCTGGCAAAGCACGTCTTTGTCTACTTGCGCCAACAGCATACTCCTTGTCCCCAAAATCCTTATGGTCAGGATTTCCTCACAAACTAAACTGTACCACAGTATAAGGGGCTGCAGTGAAACAGGAGAAACTAGGTTAAGATCACCCCTTTCAGGGACAGTGCTGGCAAAAAAAGGGAGGAGACAATTTGACCCAGTTCTCCCTTCTCACTGCAGCCCCTCATACTGTCTGGTGCACTGGGTCCACAAGCATCTTCCGACTCTCACTCAAGGCCATTAACATCGACAAGCCACTTCAGAAGATGATTTAATGCCCATCCCACACTTTGGTTACAAACAGGGAAATGTCTAATTCCCTAAAAAGGGTGCCAAATTGCTTCCAACATATTTTTTAAGTTAGAAATGTCTCTGATTTCTGCAAAAGTTTGAAGTAGTTTCTTTCTTTCTTTCTTTCCTTTTTGGCCCCCCATAGGGGATTTTTAATTGCATTTTCTATAAACTACAACAAAATTAGGAAAGGAATCTACAAACTATGGGAGAAAGTAAAGAAAAACCACTAAAACCCCAAGAGATGGTGGTCAACAAGTATAATGTTCATACATATTAGAGATAAAAACACCAACATATCTGACTTCTTAAAAAGCAATATAAGAAATGATTAACAAATGTTAGAACAGATGTTAAGGACTGTGATAACTCATTTTTTGTCCTTTTTCTTTCTCAAATGATAATTTGTTTTTGGGGCTGCCGCCCCAAGTTTAGAATCTGAGTTCTCATCAGAAGACGTCACTGCTCCTTCTTCTTCACTTCCTTTGATGCTGTTGCCTTCCTCCTCTTCTTCTTCTCCTGTTGGACAATTATGGTGCTGTAGAAACTCATGTGCCTTTTCAACAGAGTCAATTCTTTCCTTTTTATCTTTGCATTTAAAGATTATGCCTTCGGGCACGATCCATCTGTAGGGGATGTTGTTTTTCTGTAAAAATAAAGCCAAGTCTCTAAATTTCTTTCTTTTCTTTCTTATTTCAAATGGAATGTCCTTCTAATATTTTATTTCTTTGTCCTTGATTTTCAAGTTAACTCCACTTGTCGCTTTGAGTATTTGATCTCGCACTTGCCATCTGGAGAACCTCACCATCACTTCCCCGGGCAGATTATTTTTTCTTGTAAACTTAGAATACAACCTAAAGATCATACCTATTTCGCTTTGTAAAGTATCTGCTTTAATATCTGCCACAGGGCCTAAAGAGTCACACAGAATCTGTTTCAAATTTTCTCCCGTCTCTTCGGGGATCCCTGGAAATCTAAGGGTGTAGCTTGCCCTTTCCATTTGCAGCTGTAACAAATGAGACTCATCAGCTGATCTTTTTTTCTCCATCACTTGCATTTGTTTTTTAAGCTTCTTGGTGTTCGCATCCACCTCTTTAAGCTCTTGCTGCGTTTTCTCTGTTTTTTGGCCATCTCAATCATCTGCAGTTGTTGAGTGACGAATTTTTGGTGCAATGACGTGACTTGTTCCAGCAGAGGGTGCAGCACCTCATTCAGCATCTTTTGAAGATCTGTAACGGTGTCCTGTCTAGGGACAGAACTCGCTGGGCTGGCACTTCTGGCAAGAGGGTTCAGTTTTGGAAGTTTATCTTTCTCTTCTCTCCTTGGAGGCGCCATGTTGGAGATTGTTTACTTTTAGCAAAAGTTACCAAAGTCCTCAAAGTCCTTAAAAATGCCTGGTAAGTTCTTATAAGGTTTTTATTTCTGTCCACTTTGTTTAGATAGCCCGCTCTCCCACTTCTCTGCTGCAAAGTGTTCGTTTTTTTCCCTTGTTGAGGGGGAGTTCCTCCCCCCCCCCCGCTTCCAAAGGGGAGAGCGTTCCGCTAGTTTTCTGGTGTTTTCACTTAAACTTGACTCACATTTCAATGATGATATCGCTTTAAATTAAAGTTCGCTTGGCCACCAAACGCCTGATCCTGTGTTCCTCACAGGGATCCTCTAGTTCCTCACAGGGAAGCTCCGCGGTGGGACCTTCGGGACATGGAACAGCCCCCCTTCGCTGGCCAGTCACCGGAGGAAGGTCTCTCATAGTCCCCCATGGCTGGGGGCCCTTCACAATGGCTCCGGAGTACGTGCGCACCCCCTCCAAGCCGCGGGCTCTGGCATGCGTCTCCTGGAGCCTCCTGGAGAACGCGGTTGCCATGGCGAGTGCCAAAACAGGAAGTGAAGTAGTTTCTTTATTAAGCATCTAGCTGAGATGGCAATTCCAGAATATTTTGAAAAATACAGGGCCCCCCCCTTTCCAATGGAAAAAATAAGAAATTTGAACTGGAAAAAACCTGTAAACTATTTGGAATGAGGGGCTTTCCCCCCCTTGACTCAAAATATATAACATGAAAACATCAGAGGAATTTTTAAAGTTTTTTTTTGGGGGGGGGACTAGAAAAAAAACTTCTAGGGATTTCCCCCCTTTTGGAATGAGTGGAATGTTCAAGGTAAGATTTTACTCAAAAGTAAAATATACAGCACTAGATAATGAGGATTCCAATATATACATATACAGCAAACTTTCAAGAATAAGTTTACTGTTTAAATGTGAATAATTTTGGCAACAGGTATACGGTTATAATGTGTTTAATGAAAATACATTGAAGAGTTCAGTGTTTTCAATTTGATATCCAAATATACTGGCAGTCCTACATATTGTTGACAGTATAGGAATGTTTCTGCCCAGATTATGCAATTTTGTTTACTTCAGAATTTTTTTCTGCATTCAATTTTTTTATCTGTGTCTCTTGCGGCAAAAATTAAAGTTACATAAGATAGCATAGGATACAGCAGTTTGGTGTTCTCTCAAGTACAGGGTATATTTGAATTTTCTTATAACAAACTAAGGCATCTATTTTTTAAATTCCATAAATATGCCAAATATTACCATTGGACACACCAAGTTACATGATGCATTTTATGTTGTCGAATCAGCAAAACAAGTTTTAGGTTCGATAGGAAAATAAGTAGTGCATCTATTTCAATTTTGCTCTAAATTTCCATTTTTTCCTTGGAACCACACAGTTTTTTCCCCATGGCTTTAAAATTTTGGGACATTTTACAACTTTAGTAGTAACCAAACAATAAGTTCCAGACCATTTATATCAGACACAATACTTTTTGGAAGAAAAGGCCAGAGAAAGGAGTGCCAACTTACTAAAACTGAAAAATGTATAGTAGTCTCCCAACCACCCCTAAAGAACCAAAAGGTCCTCTGAGCTATTGAAGAATTCATCCCCTCAGATAGAGACTGAGCATAATCAGAACAGAACAAGGGAAAGAATCACTTATTTTTGTATGCTAAGACAAGTGAAGCTCCATTTCCTGACATATGTTTTTGTTGCCTTCTTGAAGCCATTGCAATTACAAAGCAAGTACTTTCAAACAAACAAATCGAATCCGACTTAAACGGGTTATATTTCTTCAAGAGCTTCAATATTTCTTAAATTTCTTTAAGCACTCAATGAGGGCTGAAACTTAAGAGACTGAACAGAAACTTCCAAGTCAGCAAACACAGCAGCACGATTCCCACACACTTGTTCCCCCCCAATAATGGTTTCTCTGAAAATATGATCAGGAACTGAAGGCTATATTTACCTATTGTTGTGATGGTTAACTAGCAGTGCAAACCCAAACAATCAACATACAATGAATAGGCCACTTCCAGAAAGAGGACTTAGGAGGGAAACAAATACAGAGGCTATCATGCCAAGAACCCTTGCACCCATGTAGTGTCAGGCCACCATCACTATCAGACCATAGTCCTGAAATGATGATTCCACTCAATCTAGTAGGTCACTGTGTTTCTTACCTCAGGGATCCAAGCACCTCTGCCATGTTGAAGCTTTCAAGGATCTCCTGAATCTGTTCACAGCCTTCCTCCCCAAGGCAATTGCCTGCAACAAAGACAGAAACAAACCATGCCAAAATCCTATACTGGCTACAAGAAAATTTGTCTGGGAATACATCAGAATGGGCCTATGCTTCCATCAAAAGAACACTTATTTCAGGATCATCTATCTTCTATATATAGAAAAGAAAGTCCCCTCACTGTAAAATCAATGCCCAGGCCAAACCCCTGGACCTAGAAACACGAAATTCAGGGAGAACACTCCTACCATGACATAGATACTCATTAAGAAGGGATTTTAAAAATTTTGTCCCCCAATTGTTTCCCATGTGCCTGGCAGGCTGCTGCCTCCTTGCCCCCCCCTTAATTGGTCAACTGTGTAGCTCAGAGTTTTGAGGTAAAACCTGCCTGCTTGCACCCACCTCCCTCTGATTGCTCAGACGTGAATCTCAATGTTCTAAGGTAAAAATGCAGTTAAGAGACTGCGGACAGTTGAGGACAGTTACAGAAATCAGTGGTTCAAAACTCCTGAATAGACATTTCTCAAAACTGCCAGCATGGCAATTGAGTTTATGAATGTTCAAGGGGAGATAGTGAAGGACCTTTCTAGGAGCCATTTTGATGTGTGCCTCCCTCATGAACCTGAAGAAATGTCCACCACATTACCACTCCCTCAGACCAATTCCTCCTCACACCTCTCACTGCTCCCAAGAAAGCTCCTGGCAAATGTTGAGCAAGATACAACAATGCAATAAGGAGGAGATAACTTATTATATAAAGCCAATAAATAAATAAATAACTTAGGAATGTGGCAAAGACATTTGCACATAGTACTTCTGAGGTGCACTGAGCTGCGCTGGCCAATTACCAGCAAGATCACCCTGAGGTGCTCAGTACCAGCAACATCACCCTGAAGTGTCTCCATATAAGCATAACAGTGTGGTCTACAGAGAGGTCCTTCAGTAGAGAAAAAAACAGTACACGTGTGTCTCATTTCATTTTTTACATTACAATCTTCTCCATTAGAATTCCTACAACAAATATTACATTTCAAACTTCACATCAGTATTATAACTGGATTTATGGAAGCACGGGTCTCAGGTAAAGTGGCAGAGTGCACAGCAGACAATCTACCGAGAATAAGGAACTCATAGGTTAGGTAGGCGAAAGGGAAACATCCTTGAGGAAGAAGGCCTCCCTCAACAAGACTCTTGAGAGTCCCCTGGACTGCAAGAAGATCAAATCAGTCAGTCCTAAAAGAAATCAACCCTGACTGTTCCCTGGAAGGCCAGATAATGAAACTGAAGCTCAAATACTTTGGCCACCAAATGAGAAGGGAGCACTCACTGGAGAAGACCCTGATGCTGGGAAAGACTGAAGGTCAAAGAAGACGGGGACAGCAAAGGATGAGATGGTTAGACAGTGTCATAGATGCAACGAACATGAAATTGAGTGAACTTCAGAGGACAGCAGAAGACAGGAGGGCCTGGCGTGACCTGGTCCATGGGGTCGTGAAGAGTCAGACTCGACTGTGCGACTGAACAACAAACACATCAACACCATATTCCCATACCATTGAGATCAAGCTTTTCTAGCTCCGACTTATCTTCAGTAGCTTCAGCGATAATCAGAGCAGCATCTCGCTTGATTTCACAGAACGATAAGTTGAGCTCCTAGGAGACAGACGGTGTGGTTATTAGGAATAATCAAGTTGGAGAGGACAACTGAGCACCTCTTTCATATGTGCTCAGTAAGACACAAAGTTGATTACACAGCAATGCTTTATTAAAAAGGACATCTGAGGAAAAAGAGTACAAATAACCTTGCAAGATCTTACAGGAGTGATCTGTTCTTCTGACTCAGTCCAAGGATCACAAAAACTAATCTGAGGTGAAGTTTAATTTATTAATTGTAACTGTGGACCCAGTAAAGGTAAAGGTAAAGGTTCCCTTGCTCGAAAGCCAGTCGAATCCGACTCTAGGGTTGCGGTGCTCATCTCCGTTTCAAAGCCAAAGAGCCAGCGCTGTCCGAAGACGTTTCCGTGGTCATGTGGCCGGCATGACTAAACACCAAGGCGCTCGGAACGCTGTTACCTTCCCACCGAAGTGGTCCCTATTTATCTACTTGCAATTTCTTGCTTTCAAACTGCTAGGTTGGCAGGAGCTGGAACTAGAGACAGCAGCTCACCCCATCTTGCGGCACCCGGGTCTTGAACCGCTGAACTACTGACCTTCCACAGCCTGCAGTTCAGTGTCTTAACCACTTGAGCCACCGCAGCTCCCAGTACATTCCACTTAAACTGGGTTTGGTCTGTAATAGACAAAAGGCAAGTAGCTTGCCATAACTACAGCATTCAAGCTTCACAGAGGCTCAGTGGCTGTACTTCAGTTGCAGTATGAGATGCTATCTTTAGTATTAGGATGGATTACAGCTGCTGGCTTGAATATGATCACATATACTTTGCCAACCCCTATTCTAGGATTTTAAAGGACAGAGAAATAGGCAGAAAATTTTGTATATATTTGGAATGCAATTAGACAACTCTGATTTAAAAGAGGTATACAGATAAAGTGATAGCCAATACCTTGAGTTTATGGAGCCCCTCTTTAACAGCATCAGCAATAGCAACCGCACCTTTTGAACGCACCAGGCAGTCACCAAAGTTGATCACTTCCACCTGTCTGAGTTTCTTCAGGGTCTGAGTAGAATAGAGACGACATGTAAGCAAAGTCACAGAAGTGGACCATACAATCTTGCCAAAAGCAATTCCCATTCTATGTCTTTGCAGGACTTTGTAACTGCTATTAACATAAAAAGGATTGCATCTAATTGAAAGGAACTTACCTCTGCCATGGCCACAGCCCCCTTTTCTGTAAAAGTGTTGTCATTCAGGTTGATCACCCTCAGCAAGGGATTGAGAGCAAAGGCTTGTGCTAATGCTGTAATTCCTGGATGGTTGATTCCATTCTGTGGCATATACACTTCTTCCAACGTGCCAATAATCTGAGCAGTAGCAACAAAACAAGAAGGGCATTATACCAACATAGTAGATATTAATATAATAAGCATTCTCCCAGAAAGATGTTAGAGAATAATAATTATTTTTTTAGCTGCATTGACTCTCAGATATCCTGCCTGAATATTCTGAAACCCCATGAAGCATCCTAGGAGACAAGCTTTCCTGCATTCTGAATAACCAACAAGCATCTCTTTCTCTAGCGTGCACGATGTTGGGACACTGAAGTAATCTTATAGGCCCATTATGCATGCACATCTTACTGCAGATTTTCAGAGCAGTAAGCCTTTCATCTTGACTTTGGATTGTGTCACTGCCTTATGCACCATTCTTTTTCCTCTGGTGTATTTATTCTACAGCTACAATTAAAAAACACACTTTTCTATGCCAGGGTGGAATGTCACTTGTGAAATGTGGGGGGTGGCGTCCAAAGGTTTTAGAAAAAATTTACGCAGTTGCCCTATTGCAGCTGTGCAGTAGCATCCAGCAAGCACCTTCCATTTAAATCCTCCTGGTTCAGGTTGTGTGTGTGCATTTTAGCGTTAGTTCATTAAATGAAAGGGAACAAAAAGGAACACAGGCAAAGGGAAAAACTAATGTTGAAACTGACCAGACTTTTTTTTGAAACTGACAAGCAGCTACCAAGTCCTGTTTTCTATATTGCGCAGCACTAGGGGATTCTCTGCTGTGTTATCAGCCACTGTGAAAAAATTGGGAAAGTCACATGATCTCATAATACAGGGGGACATGTTGAGTGTACAGAATGCAAGGTAGAACCCACAGACACTTGCATTGCAAGCTGTGATCGTTGGCAATGTCTGTGTGTGTACGAGCCTATGCAAAGTTGGCTGCAACTCAACTATGCTTTGCATAGGACTGCAATTTGTATGGGGGAGGAGTCTGGCAGAAGATCTGGAGAGCTTTCTTAGTCTTCTGCCACTAAATTTAAAAAATAGGGGTATTCTCGCCAATGCCCTACCACAGCTGCATAGTAATGCTAATTTCTTGTCCTTCCTCACAAATTTGCATGGTTTTTTCCTTGTGATTCTCTCATTTAATCCTGCACACTGGTTGTGATCTTGGCAGTTTTTTAGAGCATATCCTGAGCAGATTGCACTCTGTCCTCCAAATGGATCAATCCCAAGCGATTCTTAAGTTCAGTGGTTTGAAGAAGGTCCAAGTGGCTCAGCTGCCATTTTAAATTAGGCTTCCGGAGACTGCCAAAATTGTGTCCCCCCCCAATCTTGCTTACTAAAGCATTAAAGGGAAAAATGTTCTCAAAGCTTTAGGCTTCCCATCCCAGTGTCTCTCTCTCTCTCTTTACATCTCATGTCAATTTCCTTCAGCTCTGACAATCCCCCCCTTTATTTTGTTTGCATGCAGTACTGAAATCCCCCCCCCTCCCGGGGATGCTACTGTTTGCCTCCTCTCCAATCCCCCTTTCAAGTCAATACCAGCAGGTAACTAAACTATATACAATTCCTTTTAAACTTACCCCCATTGTTTTAATTTTTTAAAATTGGGCAATCCAAGACTAGTGATAGTCTCATGTCACTGGACTCAGGCCACATGTCAAAAAAAATTAAAAACAAGGGGAAAATGGAGCTTGTACACCAATGAAGGGGGGATGGCAGAAGGTGCAGAGTGGGCGAACAACCTCAATGTGGGCAGGGGACTGGTCTTCAAGGGGCAGCAAAAGGGTGGGGGGAATCTGAGGGAATATGTACGGTTTTGAATTACTTTTTGCTTGGAAGCGAAACTAGGGGAAAATTGGCACAAAAGCACTCTCAGAAAACCCAGGGAAACAATGACCAGAAAGTGAACTGAGCACTGAAGGGAGGAAAATCAATGCAGAATGACAAAGAAAACCTAATGGACATGCAAGGTGAAAATGAAGGAAAACACCCATGCATAATCCGCCATAGTCTGGGGTTAGCTTCTTAAGTCAGGAAACTATTTTCACTTGTAAACCCGAAACCAGAATGAAATGAAAAATAATATATGTCCAGAAGCAGTTTTAGGCAGGGGACCCAATATTTGTGATACAGTTATGAAAATGCTTAGTCACTACAGATGACAAAGAACAGCAGCAGAGAACTCTCCTCTCATACAGATCAACTTATCTAGCTTCTCTCTAAACACCCATGTGTAACAGTAAGCTGTCTTAATACCTTTTCACTACTCTACCATGAAGTGTCAATCTTCAACAAATTTCTGATCAGGTATAATACAAAGTCACTGCACATGATTACAGAGAAAGCAGGTGATCAGAGATGAATTGTTATGAAACCCTAGAAAACCGAACTTCACTGTGCTTTGCAATATAATGGAAACACCCATCACTCTGCACTCAGAAAAGGTTTAGCTAGGACCTACTTAAAAAGCAGAAGCAACAGCACATAGATAACTGTTCTATTTCAACAGTTGTATGGAGAGAGGATAGAAGAAATGATGGCACTCAGCAGGCAATCATAGCACCAGACTCACATAAGTTGCAACAAAATAACACAGCACATATCTCAAGAAGTAGCATGGCACATGGGAAGGATGGTTGCTATCCAGCACCTGTGTAGTCTCTGAGAATGCCTCTGGACACCAACTTCTACCAAAGAATCTCAGCTCAATGGTTTTAGCAGTAGATGAAAGGACCTGACATGGTGTATTTGTAAGCAAGTGAGGGACCTACTATAGTACTAGAAGCGGAAGACAGCCCAGACCACCCAAATACTACACTGCAAGCAAGGACCTGTGCATTTTCGTCATATGTACAGTACAGTGACCTCCTACTATATTTGCAGCATTTTTATAACAAGGATACTAGCACACTAAAAATTCTCCTAGAATATAAACTGAATGTTAGCAATTAATATTATTGGCCGCAACATGCCCTGATTACCAAAAACAAAACAATGCCACAGGGAAACTGGGGGGCACTCATAGCTCACTATAGCTTCCATAGAGACAACTCATAAAGGTACTCCCAGTCCAACAGGGAGATATGTAGACAAGACCCACATGATCTACCACTGTGCATCAAAGTGGTCATAGAGAGCATGGGCAAACAAACAGCAAATTCACTCTTCCAAGAAAAAGACATGACATACAAGTTTGGTGGGAGAACCGGGTTTGATTCCCCACTTCTCCACTTGCACCTGGCTGGATGACCTTGGGCAAGCCGTAGCTCTGATAAGAGCTGTCCTTGAAAAAGAGCAGTTTCTATCAAGAGATCTCTCAGCCCCACCTACCGCACAGGGTGTCTGTTGTGGGGAGGGGAAGGGAAAGGAGTTTGTAAGCCGCTCTGAGACACCTTTGGGTAGTGAAGGGCGGGGTATAAATCCAATCTCTTCTTCTTCTACAAGACCCCAGCAAAAGAATCATCAGCTGTAGCCAAGGCAGCACCAAATGACTTTGAATGATGCTGTTAACAAGACTCCCAGCACTCAATGACATTCAGCATGAGCAAAACCAGGATACAGCAGAAGTCATGCTTTTTGTTTGCTTAGAGAGGGAAGTGTGATGTACATTAGAGAAAGCATACGTATTTTCTCAAACACTATAACCATATGGTGGCTTAAAACTGTCTCTTCCCATTCAATTAGAGTCAACAAAACTGCTTTATCACAAGACCTTCCTTTTTGTACGTACCCTGAAAGCCTCAGCAAGAGCAGTTGCACCATCATTTTCCAGGCGGTTCCGTCCAGCAACAAATACTTTCAGAGCTAAAGGCTTGCCCTGAGCATTTGACTTCCTGTGACATTCTTGCAGAGCGCCTGCCAAGATCTAGGAGATTATCAGACAGTTCACATTACTGTAATGTTACTGTAATGTCACTTCAGCCTGAAGGATTCCATCCATACAAGGCATATTTAAGCTATCACTTCCTATATACAACACAAATATCTTTACTAAAGATATTTTGCAACAATAATGCTATTGCTAGTTGTATCATCAATAAGGGAATTTAGGTTAGGAAGATGCTATGGGTCTATTGTCTGTTATCAATTCAGATCTCTTTGTTCTTGAGAAAGGGTCACAGCTTCTTTACCAATCTTGACAAGTTATAGACTTTATTTTAACCCTTCTCCTAATTCCCTGCAATGGTAGGCAGGCACTGTTTTTGAAAGCTCGTTATATTTTGCTACAATAGATTAACACAGCTCCTATCTGCAAGAGTTTCTGAGTATCTGCCATGAGACAGATCTTCTCCATGAAAAAAACAGAAGCCACCCCCCCCTCAGATCCCTAACGAACTTAATCACCAGGGGGGGGAGAGAAGCCAGAGAATCCCCTTGTCCTGTCTTTATACAGACCCAAGAAATGCCATTTACCTTGCCACCGCCAATGCCCATGCCACAGTTGTTTAGCTTGAGTTCCTGCAAGGTGAAACAAGCAGGGCTCTTCAGCAATGCTTCAAATCCACGCACCCCATCTGGCCCAAAGGCATTGTCACTCAGATCCAGCTCTACAAGTTGGCAGCCTGCGGAAACAAGGGCCTCCCCAAGAGAGATCTGCAAAATAGCCAGAGGGTTACATCTGATAAAGTGCTCTCTTTTTCAGGAGAAAGACAAAAATCTTGTTCATGGTTTACAATATCTTATGCTCCAGAACATAAACTTCAAGTTACTTTTAAAATCACCATACTGCCCAAGTCACCATTACCCAGTTCTTGTATAGCTTTTCCTTGGAAACTGAGTTCAAGGCTTGAAATCTCATATTGCTTGGAGGGGTAGATCCTAATTGTGTTTCATTTTAGAACCTTACTAGAACCTCAGCAGGCTATATTTCCCCCCCAAAACAACTATTTTTAAAAGATTCTTTATGGTTGGGCGGTAACTGCATACCTTCTTCCACTCAGCATACTTTTCCTAACATTAATCATCAAGCTTTGAAGTCACCCCCAATAGCTTGGTGGCAGTGAAAAGTACCATCAAGGCACAGCCAACTTATGGTGACCCGAGTGGGGTTTTCAAGGCAAGAGAGGTTCACAGGTGGTTCACCATTGTCTGCCTCTATGTAGCGACCATGGTACCCTTTGGAGGTCTCCCATCTGAATACTAACCAGGACCGACTCTACTTAGCTTTCAACATCTGGCTAGCCTGGGCCCTAGGCCTAAAGAAACCGTCTGAAGTATAACGAAGGCGGTCAGTGTGATTCAACTATGTCTGAGCAGCAGATTCCGGTGCTCTGGGAGAGGGGGAAGTTTAGCGGTGGGCCTAGGCAAGGTACTAAGGGCTGAGAAATAGTAAGGCTCGGCGCCCTTCCAGCCTACGGCTCATCCCAAGGGTAGCTGGCAGTGGGGCTAGGATTGATAACCCCCCCTCCGTCATTAGTGCTGTTCAACGCCAGGTCCATTAACAACAAAACCTCAACCCTTTGGGATTTTGTGTTGGAACAACAGGCGGACCTGGCGTGTGTGACTGAGACCTGGGTGAGGGAGGGTGAGACGGTAGCTCTCACTCAGCTTGCCCCCCCCCCCGGGTTACTCAGTCCTCCACCAATCACGGACTAGGGGGCGGGGGGGAGGAGTGGCTATCTTCATTCGGGAGGCTTACTCCTTCAGGGTGCTCCCATCTGTGGAGATTGCGGGCTTAGAGTGTATCTGCGCGATGCTGAAGGCTGTGGAGAGTTTGGCGATCTGGCTGGTGTACTGACCGCCCAATGCACGGGCCAGTAGCCTGCCGTCCCTGCTGGAGGCCGTATCAGGCTGGGCATTGGATCACCCTAGACTGATGGTCCTGGGTGACTTCAACTTCCATGATGAGGATGCGGCCTCCAGCAGGGCTATGGACCTAGTGTCATCCATGGCGGCGCTGGGACTCTCGCAGTTTGTTTCGGCCCCCACACATTGGGCTGGTCACATGCTCGATTTGATCTTTGCGGTGGGGGTGGAGGTGGGTCAGATTACTCCTGAGGCAGTGCCATGGTCTGACCACCTGGTCCTGGAGGCCCGTCTGAAGTTTCCACACTGACCCTTAGTAGGCGGAGAGCAGATTTATGCTCGCCCACGAGCCCAGATGGACCCATTTCGGCTCCAGAGGGCTCCGCGGGATCCTAGACTCCCTGGCGGCTCGTTAGATGAACTAGTGGAGGACTGGCATATCCGGCTCTCCACAGCCATCGACGAGATCGTACCCAGGTGTCCTCTCCAGACTCGTCTTAGGCGGGCACCCTGGTATACCCAGGAGTTGCGGCAGCTGAAGCGAGAACTGAGACGACTAGAGAGACGGTGGCGTCGTGTTCGTGACGAGGCGTCAAGAGCATCCTATAGGACGTTTATGAGATCCTATGAGATGGCAGTCAAGGCTGCTAAGAAGGATTTCTTTGCGGCTGAGATTGCATCTGCGAGCTCACGCCTGGCCCAATTATTTAGTACGATTAGGTCTTTGACAGACCTGCCACAGGGCAGGCGAAACGATAGGGAATTGGATATTGGCTGTGAGGCTTTTGTGAGCTATTTTGCAGATAAAGTCTTGATGCTCCGCCGCGACCTCCCCGCCACAATTGAGACAGTGAGCGAACTTGAGGCCCCTTGCGCGCCTTCGGTTCTGAGTTTAGAGTGTTTTAGCCCATTCAGCTTGGACGAAGTTGACAGATTGCTCGCTTCTGCTCGCCCAACCACATGCAACCTTGACCTCTGCCCCTCCGGGCTCATTAAGGCGGGTCACGAGGGGTTTCAAGGTGCTTTGTGGGAGACTGTCAACAAGTCCCTTCTTGAGGGACAGTTCCCCTGAGCACTCAAGGAAGCGATGGTCTGCCCCCTCTTAAAATAGCTATCTTTGGATCCGGTCGAATTGGCCAACTATCAGCCGGTGTCCAATTTGCCTTATTTGGGCAAATTGATAGAGAGGGCGGTGGCGTTACAGTTACAGGGCTTTCTGGATGATGGTTCAGTCCTGGATCCCTTCCAGTCTGGCTTTCGCCCAGGTCATGGGACGGAGACGGCATTGGTTGCCCTGACTGACGATCTCCAAAGTCATCTGGATCAAGGCGGTGTGGCGGCATTGCTGTTAGATCTGTCGGCCGTGTTCAGCTGCTGACCCGCCACCTCGCTGACGTGGGGATTCAGGGGCTTGCCCTTCAATGGTTTGCCTCTTTTCTCCAAGGTCGGGGACAGAGGGTGGCGATTGGGGAACAGCTGTCCCGGAGGCATCCTCTTGAGTGTGGGGTGCCTCAGGGGGCGGTGCTGTCCCCAATGTTATTTAACATCTATATGCGCCCCCTCACCCAGATTGCCCAGGGTTATGGGCTTGGGTGTCATCAATATACAGATGACACCCAGCTCTATCTGATGTTGGGTGGCCAGTCGGACTCCGGTCCTGATGACCTTCATTGGACGTTGCAGGCCACGACTTGTTGGCTTAAGCTGAGTCGGCTGAAACTAAACCCGGTGAAGACGGAGGTCCTGGGCCTGAGTCGGATCGGTTTGGGGTTGGGGCTCCCTCTCCCGACCTTCGATGGGGTGCCTTTGGTACCAGCGTTAGGGGTTAGGAGTTTGGGGGTTGGTTCCCTACCTTGACCGTGATGACCTGGCCACTGTGATCCATGCGACGGTCACCTTGAGGTTAGACTACTGCAACACTCTCTAGTCTCTACATGGGGCTGCCTTTGTCGCAAATCCGGAAGCTGCAGCTAGTACAGAATGTGGCAGCCAGGCTGTTGATGGGACTTACAAGGCGGGACCATATCCAGCCTGCGCTGAAGGCGGTGCACTGGCTGCCAATAGCTTACTGGATCCGCTTCAAAGTGCTGGTTCTTACCTATAAAACCCTGTATGGCCAGGGTCCGGCTTACCTGAGGGACCGCCTTTCCCCATATGTTCCCCCAAGGGCACTATGGTCGGGCCACAACACCTGTTGGTTATTCTAGCCCCAAAAGTTGCTAAATATGCTGCTACTAGGGCCAGGGCTTTTTTGGTGGCGGCTTCTACCTGGTGGAATGAGCTCCCGGAAGTGATCAGGGCCCTGCGGGACCTAGTACAGTTCCGCAGGGCCTGTACCAGTTCCGCAGTTCCGCAGGGCCTGTACCACCACCATGTTGTCATCTTTGTTGGTGGAATTTTCTACAAGGTGCGCCGGCCCTAGGATGGAAGAACTAACAAAGTGAAGTACTAACCAGAAGAGACGTCAGTGTTCCCTGGAGCGTATCATCGGAACCCCAATCTTGGAATTGTTATAGTTTACTGTTGAGCACCGATTTTAATTGTAATGATTACTTATTGGTTTTAAATTGTTTTATGTATGGCATTTGCCTCTTATGTTAGCCGCTCTGAGCCCATGTGGAAGGGCGGGATATAAATCTAATAAATAAATAAATAAATACTTACAGTGTAATCCTAAACAGAGTTGGAGTAACTTTTTTTAGTATTCCACTGTTAGAGTATGTTCATAATAGTCCTATATCAAATTCCGAAACATACAAGTCATCCACTTACCAGAGCAGCAGGGATCTCAGATCTCAGCCTTCCAGTGAACATATCACTCCAGTGGCATCTCTGGAAGACATACATGTTATATATGCTTAGGAAAGTCAAAGTAGCCTAAAAGACAATTACATCCTACTTACCTGTGAATAATCTGCTGAGCAGTAAACAGAGCTACATAAACTGTCTATTTGTTTGCTCAGTAAAAGACAGCTGCTTCATATTGCAACAGCTATTTAACAGTGAACAGAAGTACTGTTTATTTATAGCCAGCCTCTCTCACCATGACTCTAGGCAGAATACACAATGCAAAACAATGCAATCAAATAGCATGTGACAATCAATAACCAATGTAATAGGACTCATATTACAAATATTAAGAACAATGCAAAAAATTTCAGTCATGATGTATCATAAAACAAATGCAGGGTATGGAATTATAAAAGTAGAAGACAAATGCAATAAGAACATGATAATAAAACAAAAACCGTGGAACACACTCCTGTTCCATTTATAAAAACACTCCCCAGGCTTTATACTGAATACGTATTCCCTTTATAAAAATGCCCTCTTGATTTTTTCTGTTTTGCCATTCTGCAGAAAGACAAAAGTATGGGAGCTTTCCTGACCACCTTAGGCAAGCTGTTACACAAGGTGGGAGCCACCACAAAGTATGAATGTGTACAGGCAGTTGCCAGTCTTACCGTTTTGCTGGGTGGCACTGTCAGAAGACCCTGCTTGTATGAGCAAAGCTCTCACAGAGGAGCACAGCAGGGGAGGTGGTCCTGTAGATATGAGCGTGGGCGTTGTAAACGATAGCTGGTAGCTTAAACAGAACGTGGTAACTGATAGGTAATAAATCAAGTGACTGTAGAATGGGTATACTACGCATATTCTGCCTAGCTCCCAATAGTAATGAAGCCAGGAGGGCATTCTGTATCAACTGAAGTTTCAGAGCTGACTTCAAGGGCAGACCCATGTAGAGTGTATTACAATAGTTCAAAGGAAGTAAATGATGTTCATCAAAATCCAAATGGGGCATGTAGATGGAACAAAATGAAATTTTGAATATCAAATATCAGTTTAGCAATGCACATAAGCACAAAAAAAAGAAGCCTGGTGGGGTAGTAGGCCATCACTAACAGCAGCAGTAACATTTCATCAGAAGAACAACATTTCATCAGAAGACCTTCGGAGGCATCTGGATCGGGGCAGTTCAGTGGTGGTGGCGGTGTTGGACCTATTGGCGGCGTTCAGCACAGTCGACTACGAACTACTGACCCACCGCCTCGCCGACACTGGGATTCAAGGGTCTGCCTTGCAGTGGCTTACCTCATTCCTTCATGGTCGGGGACAAAGGGTGGTCATTGGGGAACAACTGTCCCGAAGGCACCTGCTAATTTGCGGAGTGCCCCAAGGAATGGTGCTTTCCCCGATGTTATTTAACATCTACATGCGCCCCCTTGTCCAGATTGCCCGGAGGCATGGGCTGGGATGTCACAAATATGCAGATGACACCCAGCTCTGTTGTTGGACGGCTGGTCTGACTCTAACCTGGAAGATCTGGACCTGGCGCTAAAAGCTGTGGCTGGTTGGCTTAGACTGAGTCGACTGAAATTGAATCTGACGAAGACGGAGGTCCTGTGCCTGAGTTGGAGTGGCCCGAGGGTAGGGATCCCACTCCCGACCTTCGATAGGGTGCCATTGGTGCTTGGGAGTGCTCCTGGATGCCTCCTTAACAATAGAGGCCCAGGTAGCAGCCACTGCGAAGTCAGCCTTTTATCATCTTCGGCTGATCAAACAGCTGGTTCCCTTCCTTGAAAGCAATGTCCTGGCAACAGTGATCCATGCAATGGTCACCTAGAGACTGGACTACTGTAATGCTCTCTACATGGGGCTGCCCTTGTCCCAAATCTGGAAGCTGCAGCTGGTGCAGAATGTGGTTGCCAGGCTGCTGTTGGGCCTTCTTATGCGGGAGCACATTTGGCCTGTGCTAAAAGCACTGCACTGGCTGCCTATAGCAGACCAAATTTGGTTCAAGGTGCTGGTTCTTACCTTTAAAGCCATATGCGGTCAGGGGCCTACATATCTAAGGGTCCACCTTTCCCCACATGTTCCCCAGAGAGTACTATGATTGGGGTCCTGAAACCGCTCGGCCCTACCAGGCCCCAGAGAAGCCAGGCTGGCTGCCATGAGGGCCAGGGTCTTTTCAGTGGCAGCTCCGCACTGGTGGAATGAGCTCCCAGAAGAGATCAGGGTCCTGCGGGACCTTTTACAGTTCCACAGGACATGCAAGATGGAGCTCTTCCCAATTAAGGAGCTGCTCCCAAGCAGCTGTAGCCCTGGCCCAACACTAACACCATTGATAACAGCCAAGCAACTCAGACTATGAGGTCAGCCGGCTATTGCCTGAGGATGCTGCCTTGTCCGCCATCTGATACAAACTAGCACTTTATATTTTTATATCTATATTTATAATTGTACTGTTCTGATCTTATTTAATTCTTGTTTTGTTTTATATCTCCATGTAAGCCGCCCTGAACCTGTCTTGATGGGGAGGGCGGGATATAAAATAAATAAATAAATAAGTTCAGGAGGAAGGCATCCACCCCACTGAGTATCTGTACGGTCATCATCCCCCCAGTACATAAAGCATTCAGAGGCAGAAGGGAGAGAATGGTTGAAGAATTCTCTCAATACAAAGACCTAGCAAACACTGAATGAAATGACCGTTTCCCTCCCAATTAATTCCCCCCCCCCCTTGAAAAACAACAATGGCTTTTAGTGTATACTTATTCCATCAGTTTGAGCTGTGCTTTAAAGCCAAACAGCAGTGCTTATCAAAATCAATTTGCTATTGGTTTTGATTCTTCAGCAGAGTTGCAGGAAGTTCCATGCTTAATGCCATGCTTAACCCACAGAAGCACTAAAATTATTTTAGAGGATTCTTATATTTGCCATTCATTCACACAGACTGAATGCCAATAGATCCATTTTACCTGCCAGTCTAAGAAGTGAATGAATGTGAAAGTACATTTCCATGACCGTAACTTTTCCTTTCAGAATCAATAGAGAGTTTATGTTTTTTGCTCATCATTCTTTAAGATTCTCACCTTGAGCTCTGGTTTCTTCTCCAAAGCCTTGGCTATGACCTTTGCCGCCTCCACACCCACAGTGTTTCCTTCCAGACGCAGTGCTTCCATGCCATCAAACTCCTCAATCTCCTTAATCACTTCTTCAGCTGCATGGAGTATGCAGAATATTATTACTCTCCAAAGTTAAGATCACAGTGTTATGCATGCCAGTTGTGCCACATGAAACTCTTGGAAAGCTCTGGAGGCATGACTGACACTCCTAGGTTATGTATCAAGAGAGACTGAAGTCACTCGCCTGTAATCATTGCCCTTGCTTGGACTTCTCAAGACTAGCATGGCTTTGTTCTGGAGGAACAGATAGAAAGCATTTGTTTATGAAGTTCTGGCACACATCACTCCTGAAATTCAGAACTACAAACCAGATGTAGACCTTTCTGTCATTTAAGACCCCCCTCCATGCAGTATTTCATGCGCTTTCAGTTGTGGAAGAAAAGGAGACTGTAGGCATTGCTTAAGAAACCAGCAGTGGGTTTCTGTACATCATCCCCCACTCTCAAAGCTACATGCCCTTACAATAATTGAGCAGCTCATGCCAGCACTTCTTTTTGCCCTCTGTCTAAAGTCACCCCCCCACACACCGATTTTACTTGTGCTTCTGTTTCTCCAGGCTCACTACATCTGAGACATTTGGGTTTCCTTGTGAAGAAAACATTCTGCAAAGAACATAAAAGCTGGGGTGCAATAAAAGAACATTCAACTACTGTGATATTCCCTGCCCCTTCACCCTGCTATCGTTGTTCTTAACACAAATGGACTGTGATTGGGACAGTGCATTCTTCCCACTTTTTATTAATCAAAAAGGAATTTTGGACTTAGCATAAAGGTTCCTTCTAGCTCAGGTAGAACAGCACATCCTGACACTTGGGTACTCCTCCTCCCATAATCCTTGGAGGCAGAATATCAGGTCAACCTTTCCACCCCTGAGGAGAAGGAGCATGCCCCCTTCAGTTCAGAGGCTTCCAGAGCTTTTCGTAGAAAACTATGAAATGTGTCGTTGCTTGTTGCAGCCAACAGAACTTAATCTGAAAAAAAAAGATCAACTAAGGAAGAAGACTGAGCGCCACCCCATCCCAGGAGAAAAAAACAACATAAACTGTAACAGTACTAGTGGAGAGTATAAAAATGTGAGATGAGGGCTCAAAATCCCATGCAAGTGACAAGAATTCCTAGACGAGGCAGGGTCCAGAATGTCTTCCTCTACCTCATACAGAAGGAACTTGACAGTAAATCCAAAGTTCCTTTCTCATCTGAGGAAAGGAGGACATCCTGAGGCTGAGATTTTACAAAGATTCTCTCCCCCCCCCCCCCAAGCTGGGTGGTCTGGGCAGCCCTCTGTCTTTGTTCTTCTTATACTACCTGCTGAAGGACCCGCCACCTGAAGGCCACATCGGCCACTGCACGACTCCATTTTGCAATGGCATACAAAAGAAGGCATAGCTGCCCAGGTAGCTGCTGTACAGATTTCCAGAACTGATGCATTGTAGTGAAAAGTAGGAATGGTGGCTGCACTCCTGGTTGAATGGGCTGTATTCCCTTCCAGATATTTGAATTCCTGAGAATAACAATATTACTTTTGTACTTTCATATTCATAACTTCACGATTTTTGTTAAAGAAATATTGAGCGCACTGTGCACAGTTCTTCTGGATTTATTTTTGCACATCTAAGATATGCCAGTTCTTCTCTTTGGGGTTTGATGGACTGGGCCAAAAAGATGGAAGGTACATCCTCTGAGACCTGCAGAAGATGGAATTCACTTTTGGTACAAACAACTGTCTAGCTGGAGGACCACCACATCCTTCAAAAATGTAAAAACCATTTGCTGTGGATAGCAATCCCAGCACTGAAATGTTTCTGGTAGAGGTATGGCTGAAAGGAACAGAACCGTCAGCGTGTGGAACTTAAGTGACACTTATCACTGTGGCTTAAATGTGCTTGGAGAACCTTATGAAGTCTCCAAGAGGAGAAATGGTGAACCACTGGAGGGCTGTAAAATGCTGTTCTCTCAGAAAATGCCTGACTGCCAGATGCCACATGAGAGAGGGCTACCCCAACCAAAGGCAACACAGAGGCTAGTGCTGCAACCTGCCTACAGGGCATGTTTGCTCTGAGCCCCCGGTTAATTCCATCTTGTAGAAAGGACAGAAGAATCATAGGAACATCAGCATTGTTCCAGGTCTTATGCTTCCAGCAGTACCATCTGATGAAGGCTTTCCAAGTACAGCTATAAAGCCTTTTCATTGATGGTTGTCTACTTGGCAGCACAGTTTTCGCTACCTGCTTTGAGAACCCTAATTCAGTAGCCCTTGCTGCTCACACTCCACAAGTGGGCAGATGCAATCAGGCTGGATCTAAGCAGCAGATCAGTCACAGGGACAGAGTGTCTGGGAGTACTGGGAGTGCCCAGGATGACTGAACTGAAAGTGAGAGCAGGTCCAAGAGCCTCGTTGGTCAACACAAAACCAAAAATATCACTTCTGCTTTCTCCCACTTGATTTTGCTCTGTACTTTGGAAATAAGCACTGGAGAGAAGGCATACAGTAGTTCATCCATCAGGAGAGGAGTGCATCAGTCTGTTCTGCTTGTGAACAGTTGTAGTGGAAGAAGCATGGGGCCTTCATGTTCAGACAGGAGGCAAAGAGGCCAACACAAGGTTGGCCAAACTTGTTACTTGACTGAACAGGGGCTGGGAAATGAACTACTCCCCCTTGGTTGAGGCAAGTCCAACTGAGTCAGTTGGCCTGGGTACTGGAGGCACCATTTAGATGGATGCTTAGGTGCCTTTCTGACCATTTCATGATGAAAGTGACTTCCTTTTACATTTTCCAGGATTGTGTGCCTCCCTGGAGGCACACAATCCTGGAAAATGTAAAAGGAAGTCACTTTCATCATGTGCCTTGGGCATGACATTGTCCTCCAGATCCAAATGTGAACATGCTTTGATTTTCTCAGGAAGTATTTTAACAGAAAGATCACCCTGAGCACCAGGAAATATATGCTTGTGAACTGTTCCAATGGCAACCAGGTTCACTAGATCTGTCCCAGAGAGCAGTGGGCTTACCAGACCAATAGACTGACATCTGTGGTGATCAACGTCTATCTCTGGGTAGATCAGCCCATTGGCACTTACCACGAAGGGTCTTTCTCCTCTGAGGTCAGGAGGACATCTCCATGGATTATTCCCACTGTGCCTATAGGGAGGCAGGAAATACTTTCCACTTCCAGTTGGTGCCCTTAGTTCTGGGACCCTGAAAGCAGTGAGTGTGAAGTAAGAACCTAATGGCCTTGCGCTGTAGGAACATAATGGTTAACTATAACATGAACTGCAACATTAAGAAAAAAGAGAAGTTAGTTAGACCAGGAAAGAAGAGAAAAGCACAAAGGGAGAAATACGATAATGAAAGCAGAAAGGCGGAGATGTCCTCCTGACCTCATAGGAGAAAGACCCTTCATGGTAAGTGCCAATGGGCCGTTCTCTCTCTGAGGTGGAGGACATCTCCATGGGATCTCCCAGAGCAGTGTCCCTCATCTGGGTGGGTCATCATCATCTGCTGACATCATGATGTGGTGAAGAACTCTTCTTCCAAACGCTGCATCTGCCAAGGCCACAGTATTCAGCTTGTAGTGGCATACGAAGGTAGATATGGAAGACCATGTTGCTGCTCTGCAAACCTCCTCCACAGAAGCCCAGTTGGTGAAGGCCGCATTGGTGGATGCACTTCGCAGAGAGTGAGCCGTAATGCCCCTGGGGATGTCCAGCCGGGTGGCTTTGTAGGCTTCCACAATACAAGACTTGAGAACCGTGCTGATAGAAGTCTTGGACATTTTATTTTCTTTGCGTGGAGGAGAGATGTTTACAAACATGGAGCCTGTCTTCCTGAAGGACTCCATCTGTGTGGTATAAATCTTGAATGCCCTTCTGGCATCAAGGGTGTGCCACACAAACTCCTTAGGGTGCCTTGGGTGAGGGCAGAAGGTTGGCAGATATATTTCTTGTGAACGGTGTAAGGTGGACGATACCTATGGCCAAAAGGTATGGTCCGTGCAGAGCACAACCTTGTCCTTGTGAAAAACACAGAGATTGGACTTAACTGAAAGAGCATTAAGCTCCGACACCCGTCTTGTGGAGGTCACCACCACCAGAAACAGTGTCTTCATCTGCAACCACTAAAGACTAATGCTGCGTAGTGGTTCAAACGGTGCTTTGGTGAGCACCGCTAAAACGGTATGTAGCCTCCACATCGGAAAATGATGAACCTGAGGTGGAGATTTGACTGTCGCACCTTGTAGAAAAAGCAGAAAGGATGACAAAAGATTCAAGTTTCTTTCATCTGCATCACCGGATGAAGGTCTTCCAGGTAGTGTTGTATATGCAAATGGTGGACTGTCTTCTAGATGACAGTATGGTGTTCGTGACCTTGGCCGAATATCCTAGTTAAGAGAGACTTCTCTGCTCAATTTCCAGGCGGTCCAGCACAGCCAGTCTAGATGGGGATGCCATATTGGCCCCTGAAGCAACATGTCCAGGGTCACCAGGAAAGTCAACGGTGGGTTGATTGCTATCTCTCTCAGAGCCGAGAACCACAGCCGGCGTGCTCATAGGGATCACCTCTTAGTTCCCTGATTCTCCTAATAGTTCTGGCTATTAATGGAAAGGGTGGGAAGGCAAAGAGCAGACCCTTGGGCCACAATGCTGTCATTGCATCTGTTGCTTCCGCCTCAGGGTGGTAGTAACTGGTAAAGAATCATGGAAGCTGATGGTTTTCTGGCGACACGAACAGATCGCCAGAGGCTGTCCTAGATGTGAAACTATCATGCTGAATAGATCTGGGTGCAGCGCCCATTCTCCCTCGCGAATGGTTTCCCTGCTGAGCCAATCAGCCCGCATGTTATCCGCTCCCCTGATGTGTTCTGCTCTGATCGATGCGAAGTTCCTCTCGGCCCATTCCAGTATCTTCATTGCTTCCCGGTGTAGTTGTGAGGACCAGGAACCACCCTGCTTGTTGAGGTAGGCTTTGACTGAAATGTTGTCCATCCGCACCAAAATATGCTGTCCTCAAAGGTGAGCACTGAAATTGTTTAGGGCA